TCCCCAGCCCCAGAGCATCCCCAGCCCCTGCCTCCAGCCCCGACCCTTCATTAAATGCTCCCAAGACTTAATTTGGCTATTTGATAGCTGGGGGCTTGCGTAACAAAAGAATAAATAAGAACGACCTTTCCATTTAATTACATTTTTTTCAGATGTGGGGAATATATCAGCTTTCCATCAGCGCGGTGTGAGGTTTGGTGGCATTTAGAAGGAGCTGGGGGGGACCAGCCAAATGATACTCTGCCACTGCAGGGCCCCGGTGGCAGCCAGGTTTGGGGACACCGGGTCCCCCTACCCCACCACGTGCCATGGAGGGCAATCCGTGGGGCTGGGGGTGATGCCGTGCCACCAGCTGCCACGATCAGCAAGGAGGATTGGGGGTGTGTGTGTGTGACTTCCTGGCAATTAGCTCTGATTAATATTTCAGCGGCGGCCCAGCAGCTCCATGGCCATGCGGAGGAATGCTGGCGCCGAGCATCACGGGAGGAGAAGGGGAACCTTCCTCTCTCGTTGCCATGGCAACCGTGGAGATGGTTGGAGAGCTGTGAGGGGCGCAGGGCCGGGGGGGGATGATGTATCCCTCCCTGGAAATAGCCCCCCACCCCCGGCTGGGGCGGCTGCGAAGCCTCCCCTAAAATCCCCCTCTGGGAGAAGGATGGATGGGCTGCACCTGGGGGGATGCTATGGGGCAGAGCCCCCTCCCAGTCCCCCCCACCTGGGGCTCAGGGTCCTGTGCAGGCATCCAGACCCACTGCAGCTGGGTGGGATGCATGGGGCTGCCCCCAGATTCCCCCCACCCAGTGGGGGTCACCCCCCCAGGACATCAGGAGAGACCCCAGTGTGCAAGGTGGATGCTGAACCCCCTGCCCAGTGTCCCCCAGTACCCCCCCACCTCAACCCAGTGTGGGAGCCTCCCACCCCTGCCCGGCACTGACGGAGGGAGAGAGGAGGCTGCAAATTCCTGCACCCAGCACATATTTTCTGGATGCTGGTGAGTGTGTCCTGCAGCAAGTCAGAGACAGGCGAGATTTAGTAGGCAGGAGGCGGAGAATTTGTGTATCAGCTCCCTGCTTTATGGCACCCGAGTCTGGGAGGTGGGGGCAGGCAGCAGCCCGTGGTCCCTCAGCCCCACACAGCCACACCGTGGGTCCTGGACTCCCTCTGCTTGGTCCCGAGCCCTGGATCCCTACAATTTTGGGGTTAACTCCGTGCTTCCCTCAGAGGAAGCATCATCCTCCTGCCCCTGGACCATGCTGCATGTCCATCTCCTGCCCCAGGGTGGGCAGAGGACCTTGCAGCCCTGCCCCACACCATCTCTGCCCCACACCATCCCAGCCCTACACTGTCACTGCCCCAGGAGCTTGTCACAGCCCCCCCTCCCTTTTGGGGAGCACCCCCCGAGCCACAGCAGCATCGCAGGGCAAGCAGGAGGGGACAGGCTGGGGCAGGGGGCATTGCCACGGGGTAAGTGGGGATGGGGGATCCTCATCCTTCTGCCCAGGCAGAGGAGACCTCCTGCCCCGACCCCTGGCACCCACCCTGGGCAGGTAGAAGCTATTCTGCACCTTAAGCCCTTACTTTCGCTCCCCATCCCTCGCCCACACCCCCCTCCCTCCCACCTCCCTGCATATTCTTCCCAGATTCAGGCTGGAACTGATATTAATAACGGCTTATTTCAAGTTTTCAGCCCACTTTCCCCCAAGAAAATATTTATACTGAGCTCCCATTTTCCATTTCTTTTCAATTACCGCCGCGTCTCATCACCTCCCCACAACTCTCCTCTTTAGCCATAAACACAAATCCTATTACCTTTTCTCTTTCTGTGTATTTGCCCTTTGATTTAAGCTGCATTTTCTCCTGTTTTCATCAGTTCTGGACCTCTCCCGCTGTATATCTCCCTGTTTATCTACTTTCCAAAGGCCTCCTCTTATTTCTCCAGCCCTGATCAATACAGCTGCAGAGCTGGCTGGCAGCTCCTCTCCGCTCCTGCCTGTAGTTTTTCTTGGGGGACTTGTCCAGTATTTCTTGTTAAGCTTCTGTCTCAGCTTGTTCCATTTCTCATTAGGTTTTAGCGCTGGCATTGTAGTATTTCTTGTATTTCCACGCTGCCCAGCGGATTTCTTGTAATTCTTAACGGCGAGGCTTAAAGTCTCACTCTTTAGTGGGCTCCCGAGTCCTTTCTGGCGGGGCTTGAAGTGGCAACCAGCGTGACACTTTTATTTCCAGGTGGAGAAAAGAATGTCTCTGCTTCCAAGCCAGGCCATGATTTTTTCCTAACAAAAGGGGCACTGGGGATTATTTGTATTTTACAGCCCTTATTCCAGGGGATGTATTTCCTGGGGCTGTGGCGGGTGGCAGCCCCTGTCCCTGCAGTGCTGGGAAGGTGGGTGCCACCACCCGGGGCTGGGGGCACATTGGTCCTGATGGGGACATGATTGCAGTGTTGATGGCAAGGCAGAGCTGGGCAGCCCCCACCGAGCCTCCTCTGTGCCCCCCGAGCATCCCTGGACCATGCCCTCTGAGCATCCCTGGACCATGCCCCCTGCATCCCTGGCCAGGCAGCTCACAGCCTGAAAAGCATCCTGGCTCTCTGGAAGGTTTGGGATTTGTTTTTTTTTTTCATCTGCATCCCCCTCGAAATTTTCCTTCTGAGAGAGAAGTTGCTTTTAAAATACACCCCAGCTTTCCAGCTGTCAGGAGCCAGCAAATGGATTGCTCTCCGTGGCTGCATTTCTGAGTATTAAACATGACGCGCGGTTGCCGCTACGCAATATTTCCTCAGATGCCACTGCACCGCGGGAGCCAAACAGTGTCCTTTAAAATAAAACCAATTTTTCCTGTCTCCTCCACAGAATAGTCTTATTTATACACACTCAAACAGCTGTTACTGCAGGTTAACCAAAGGTTGTAAAAACATTTTTCAAATGCCCTTAACTTCACTTGGTTTGTTATTGAAATTGTTAATCTTGGGTTTAGATTTTTTTTTTTCCCCATCACACTGGTATAAAATAGGCAAAACCAGCCTTTCTCTGGCTGAGCAGAGCTTTCTGCCCCCCAGAAGCAGCTTCAGCATCATCTTGGTGGCTTCCTGGGCAGTGCCAGGGCCATGCAGCCACTCCACACCTCCCCAGAGGGATGGAGATTTCTGTGTCAGTTCAGTCCTTTCATGTTAAATTTCTGTCTGGTAAACTCCTCCCTTCATCCACACACGCACCTCTCCGCCCTGTGGTGGCTGAGGACACCTTGGGTTTGGCTGTTGAGGCTTTTCTGACAACCTCACAGAACTCTTGTGATCAGGGCAATGTCTTCTGTCACCTTGATTCCCCTCTAGACGGGTGCAAAGAGAATTTGCAGCAATTAAAACTGCTCTTAGTTTAATTGCTGAAGGGGGACATTGCCTGGGAAAGGTTCACACAGGGATGGCTCCAGTGAGAGGGCAGGAGACTGGGGACCAGCACTGGAACATCCCTCTGCCATGCAGGCCAACCCAACCTAATCCAACCCAATCCAATTCAACTCGGTCCAATCCAATCTAATCCAATCCAATGCAATCTAATCCAACCCAGTCCAACCCAATCCAATCTAACCCAATCCAATCCATTCCAATCCAATCGAACGCAATCCAACCCGGTCCAACCCAACCTAATCCAAAATCCAACCCAATCTAATCCAATCCAACCCAGTCCAACCCAATGCAACCCTGTCCAACCCAACTCAAGCCAGTCCAACTCAACCCAATTCAATGCAATCCACCCCAGTCCAACCCAATCCAATCCAACCCAACCCAATGCAATCCAACCCAGTCTAAACCTAATCCAACCCAATCTAATCCAATCCAACCCAGTCCAACCCAATGCAACCCTGTCCAACCCAACTCAAGCCAGTCCAACTCAACCCAATTCAATGCAATCCAACCCAGTCCAACCCAATCCAATCTAACCCAATCCAATCCATTCCAATCCAATCGAACGCAATCCAACCCGGTCCAACCCAACCTAATCCAAAATCCAACCCAATCTAATCCAATCCAACCCAGTCCAACCCAATGCAACCCTGTCCAACCCAACTCAAGCCAGTCCAACTCAACCCAATTCAATGCAATCCAACCCAGTCCAACCCAATCCAATCCAACCCAACCCAATGCAATCCAACCCAGTCTAAACCTAATCCAACCCAATCTAATCCAATCCAACCCATTCCATTCCAACCCAATCCAACCCAACCCAGTCTCCCCTCTTCCTCCCCTCCTCACTGCCTCCACCTCTCTTCCAGCAGCTGGGACCAGTATGGCTGTGGCACATCCCTTCCTCTTCACTCAACAATAGCTCTTTGTTCCTTCCAGCCAGCCCCTCGGCTGATGTCCTCAAGGTTCACCCACCCATGAGGTGTCAGGATGGCTGCTCCTGCTCCTGCTCCTCACCAGGAGACCTGGGTACAGCCGGGTCAGGGCCAGCACCGCTCGCACGGCAGGTGAGTGATCACCATCCTCCCCTCTCACCCCGAAGATGCCATTTCTATGCAGATGATTCTCTCACCGAGGAGCGGGGAAACCAAGGCTGATGAAATCCAATCTCATCTTCCGCCTGATTGTGATAATTTGCAACGAGCTGAGGAAAAGTGAATTATTATTAAATGCAAATAAAAGTCAAATAATGCTGTTTGGGAGCTGCTCTATGTTGCACCGTCCGCATAAATCAGGGGAAGGTTTAACCCGGGGTAATATATCACCACAGGTAGTTATCACCTCTAAATACCTGGCTGGGTGTCCAGAGCTGCCCAGACCCTCAATTACCTTCCCATTAACTAGGGATGGTGATTACACAACTGGGGACGTGCAGGGGAGCTGTGGCTCTGCCAGACCCCCCTGCAGAGCAGCTCCTGGAGCGTGGATGGCCAGAGGGACGAGGGGTGGCAGTGGGGGACCAGAGGGTGGCCGGGGAGCAGAGCCCCCTGACGGTTTTATGTCCCTGTAAATCGTCTACCAATCCAAGGGCTGACAGAGATGTATTTTTAGCTGCTGCAGCACAATTAAGTCTTCTTGTTAGTCTCAGGAGGAGAAGGAGGCTGTTGGTTTACTTGCAAATGCTTGAGGTAATTCTCTAATGGCTCCTCCACCATTACACAGACACTGTTTTCAATCTCTTATCATATGTAATCCCTAATGATTTCTCTGTTATGTCCTGTTTTATTAAAGCGCCATTGAACTATAGCCTATTGATTTAGATTTCACAGACAATTGAAATTTAAATTGACTCCAAATTGAATGTCTCCATGCAATCTGTGTTCTGTACTAAAGATAGATAAAATGCTTCTATTTTTGATAACAACTTATAGACGAGGCACATTTTAATTTCGGGAAGAGCGGAAGAGCGTCGGGATTTCCATGACAATGTCTGGCCGCCGGGACAGCGGTGACTTTCTGACCCATGATGGCATTTAACATCACCCTGGGGCTCGGCGGGAGCTGCTGGGACCCGGGCAGTGTGCTGCAGGTAAGTTTTATTTAGAGAAAAATCGAGCTTAATCATAGAATCATAGAATCATAGAACCATTCAGGTTGGAAGAGACCCTTGGGATCATCGAGTCCAACCATCCACCCTACTCTACAAAGTCCTCCCCTACACCACATCCCTCAGTACCACATCTAAACATCCCTTAAACACCTCCAGGGATGGTGCCTCAACCACCTCCCTGGGCAGCCCATTCCAATGCCTGATAACCCTTTCAGTGAAAAATATTTTCCTAATATCCAGCCTGAACCTCCCCTGGCGCAACTTGAGGCCATTTCCTCTCGTCCTGTCGCCTGTGACTTGAGAGAAGAGACCGACCCCCATCTCTCTACACCCTCCTTTCAGGGAGTTGGAGAGAGCAATAAGGTCTCCCCTCAGCCTCCTCTTCTCCAGGCTGAACACCCCCAGCTCCCTCAGCCTCTCCTCACAAGCCTTGTGCTCCAGACCCCTCACCAGCTTTGTTGCCCTTCTCTGGACCCGCTCCAGCACCTCGATGTCTTTTTTATGGTAGGGGGCCCAAAACTGGACACAGTACTCGAGGTGGGGCCTCATTCCCATGTTATTCCTGGCTAAAGCAGGGCTCCTGGGGATGCACAGACCTGGCTGGGGCAGGACCGTGATGCCAGGACCACATGGAAGGAGCTGTGGCATCACAGCTCTCCACCCCCTCTGCCCCATCCCAGGGTGTCCCCACGAATCACAGGGTGAACGATCCATCCCTGTGGGCTCCGGGGACCCACATCTCTGCCTCCCAGGAGCTTCAGTATAAATAATAAAGAGTTACAGGCTGCGATCTGCCACAGGCTCTACTTATATGCCTCCCGCTAGTAATAATGTCTGTGTTACAGCCGACCTTAATGCCAGCAAAGATAATTCTTTCCGTGCAATGAACTGTTTATTGGCTGATGGATACAGCCCTGTCACACATCCCCGCGGACCTGCGAGCCCCACAGAGCCCCTGGGGGGGGACGGCACTGCGGGGGATCCTCACTGTGGCTGGATCATCCCCCCCTGACATCCCTCCCACAGAAAAGAGGGCAGCCTGGCCCCTTCCCAACTCCCAGCATTTTGGAAATGAGGGTTTGGGAAACCCTCCAGAGCAGTGTGGTGGCCACAGGGGTGGAAGATCATCCCTGTCCTGCTCCAAACCTGCTCCTGCCCTGAGTGTGGAGTCAAAATCCAACACTTCTTCTCCATCCCCTGCCCTGCCCTTGGCCAGGACCCATCTCAACAGCTCCAGAGTCACTGGAAACAGGCACCGGGTCCAGCCCCAACCAGCCCCACGTGTACACGCGTGGCGACGTGTGTGTCTACATGTCGGGGGGGGTGCAGCTGATGAAAAGTGCCGCGTTCCGGGCTTTTAGAGACATTTACGTTTAATCTAAGGTTTAACATTCCTAGCGGGAATACTTCACAGCTGAAGAATGTTTTCCCCGAGCCTTTAGTCTCATTTCTGACATTTCACCTGTCATATTATGTGCTTTTTCAAGGGGGAGCGAAATGGCAGCTTGTCTCCTTAAAAGCGATGGACACACTGTTTGTCAACGAGACGAGCGCCGGGCGCCGTCCCCTGCTCATTTAGAAACAAAACTCACCTCAAATGATGTTTTGAACAAATAAGCTGTTTCGCCAGCATCTTCCCAGCGGAAGACACCGGGGGTTTCCCTGCTGTTGCCAGGACCCATCTCAACAGCTCCAGAGTCACTGGAAACAGGCACCGGGTCCAGCCCCAACCAGCCCCACGTGTACACGCGTGGCGACGTGTGTGTCTACATGTCGGGGGGGGTGCAGCTGATGAAAAGTGCCGCGTTCCGGGCTTTTAGAGACATTTACGTTTAATCTAAGGTTTAACATTCCTAGCGGGAATACTTCACAGCTGAAGAATGTTTTCCCCGAGCCTTTAGTCTCATTTCTGACATTTCACCTGTCATATTATGTGCTTTTTCAAGGGGGAGCGAAATGGCAGCTTGTCTCCTTAAAAGCGATGGACACACTGTTTGTCAACGAGACGAGCGCCGGGCGCCGTCCCCTGCTCATTTAGAAACAAAACTCACCTCAAATGATGTTTTGAACAAATAAGCTGTTTCGCCAGCATCTTCCCAGCGGAAGACACCGGGGGTTTCCCTGCTGTTGGAGCTGGGTGCTCTGTAAGGGGAAGGTGCTGCAGGAAGATGGGTGCCTGCTCTGAGGATGAGGAGGCATCAGGAGAGCCAGAAAAATCTTCTAACATCAACGCTGCCCACCTGGAAGGACAGCCCAAATCCCCCCAAAATACCTCTGGTTAAAAAAAAAAATAAAAATCATCTGCCTTTAAAGCCCACCTAAACTCCTACAACGGGAGCTGTCACCTAATTTATCAGGTTACTGTGGTTTTCTAAGAATGATAGACAGTAATTAAAACTAAGCTAATAACCTCCTCACTCTTGACATTTCTACAGGGGTTTTGTTCACCATTATCTACATATAGATTAAAAATTGTAATTGGACCAGAGATAGGGTTAGAAAAATCAACCACCTTCCAACTGATAGTTTGCTAGTGAGTGACACTTTGAAATTTTATTTAATCTGAGAAAATTGAGTTGAGCTCCAGTAAAGTTGAGTTATCATGAAGTACCTGCATTGGGTAGAAAAAAAACGCTCGATAAAGGCATGGGCAGGGGGATAAAGAAATGAAGAGGACCAGCAAACTGGCTGCAAACTGGCTGCAAACTGGCCAGGAGAGTTTGCATCATGGAAGTTTCTGTACCAAAAAAAAAAGGCAAAGTGGAGCAATTGATGATTCTGGCAGCGCCGGGTGCTTTAAAGCCTCTTCACACGTGTTGGGAGCAACCTGCCAAGCTCATCCCATCTCTCCCAGCTCTTCCCAAGGGATAGGGCATCCCTGTGGAGGTTTGTTGTCACCTGTGGGCACAAGTGTGGGTGCTGCAGCAGGGAGATGCCCCTGGAAATCTGCTCCTGGCTCCTGCCAGCCAGCACTTAGGCCATCTGCCTTTCATTGCTGTTGCCTCTGGTCTTTTCTCCTCCCGTTTTTAGCAGAACCAGCCCAAAGTGCCAGAGCCCACCCAGCAGTTGAGCCGCCCAAGGTCTTCCCCAGCAGGAGGGTCCCTGCTTTAAAACCAGTCACCAAAGTCATTCCTCGCTCCTCAGCTCCTCACCAGGAACGTTATCCCTTAATTGCTGCATTTATCCAGACTTACTCTCTATTTCTAACCATAACGAGTATATTAGATATGCAATTATCACCGGACACACGCAGCCACGAGCACAGGACCCTCCTCTGCTGCTGTGGGGTGACATTTCCAGGGATAAATGTGCCCATCCCAGAGGATTTGGCACCAGGGAGGAGATGGAAAAGATCTGGCTGGGGGTGACAACCCTCCAAGGGGAGGGATCCAGCACAAACTGGGGGGATTTAGCGAGGACTGGTGGTAGCTGGGGATGACTGATGCTTTCCTGGGGTGCCCGGGGGGGGAACATCCCAGGAAAGGAAAGATGCTGTGGAAACTGTACGTCCTCCCATCCAGCACTCCAAGGATGCTGGAATGCTTTGGGGGATGATGCTTGGCTTGTCCCCCCCCCTGCCCCCCGTGTTATTTACGGTGATTTTTATTCCCATCCATGGCAATCCGTGATCGCTATAGACACTTAATTATTACCGCAATAATTATTATAACACAGTATTAGTAATAGAGTAATGACAGCATTTATTTTAAACTGTGACATATTAACTAAGCAGGGCAGTATTAATTGCAATGGTGAATTATCCTCATAGACACTATTTCAATTATTGTTTTGTCACTATTACGTTTATGACAGTAATAATTACATATCTAATATACTCATTATTGTTAGATATACAGAATAAGTCTGAATAAATGCAGCAATTAAGGGATAATGTTCCTGGTGGGGAGTTGAGGAGCAAGAAATGACTTTGGTGGCTGGTTTTAAGGCTGGAGTGAGGCAGGGACTTCTCCTGCTGGGGAAGATCTTGGGTGGTTCAACTGCTGGGTGGGCTCTGGAATGGGTTCTGTGGGCTGTGCCAGGGGATGAAGGCTGGGTATGGGGAATCCTCCTCATCAGATGCCCCAGTGTGCCAGGGTTGGGACTTCTCAGCTCCTGATTCCCCACCCGCAGCACGGCAGAGGTCAGGTCTCACCTCGGAATTTATGAAGAACAAGCCACAAATGGTCTCCTCAAACCACTTGGTTTAAACAGCTGGAAACCTGTCGAGGTCTGGCTGTGGGAGGGGACAAGGTCACAACCCCGGTACCCAGCGACAACAGCGGAGGGGGAGGAAAACACCCCCCGGAGCAGCTGAGGGGGATTTAGCGAGGATTGGTGTTAGCTGGGGGTGACTGATGCCATGCAGGGATGCAGCTGCACTCTGTGCTGCATGCAGGGATGCAGCCCTGCAGCTGTGCAATGTGCTGTATGCAGGGATGCAGCCATGCAGGGATGCAGCCGTGCTGCGTGTGCAGGTGCAGTGTGCTGCATGTAGGGATGCAGCCCCGCAGGGATGCAGCCAGGCAGCACCAGGGGTGTGCATGCAGGGATGCAGCCATGCAGGGATGCAGCAGGGATGCAGCTGTGCAGGGATGCAGCCCTGCAGGGATGCAGCCAGGCAGCACCAGGGGTGTGCATGCAGGGATGCAGCCATGCAGGGATGCAGCAGGGATGCAGCTGTGCAGGGATGCAGCCAGGTGCCTGATGCCATGCAGGGATGCAGCTGTGCAGGGATGCAGCCGTTCAGTGTGTGTGGGTGCAGTGTGCTGCATGTAGGGATGCAGCCCCGCAGGGATGCAGCCAGGCAGCACCAGGGGTGTGCATGCAGCATGCAGGGATGCAGCCATGCAGGGATGCAGCCG